AGCCGCTGTTGCGAGGCCTCAGTGGGCGCCGAAAGGTTATCGACTTCGCTCAAGATGTCCCGCAGGTCCTGTATGACATGACGCATTTGCGTAATGTCGCCGCATGCATCGCCCTGCGTTGGCGGTTGCTGCGCAGCTGAGTGCGTCGCAGAAGAGCCCATCCGTGCCCAGGGGCCTCGCGCCGTCAGCGACTCACTGGGAGCGTGCGCTGGCAAAGTCGTAACAGGGGCCTCGGGTTGAGTGGGTCGGCAGCACAACCACTTAAGTCTAGAAGCCATCCGTGCTCGGATTTTAGCTACTGGGTCCTGTAGTGAGTGCAGCCGGTAGCGGTCAGCTGTCGGGACATGACTGACATGAGCAGGCTGATTGAAGACTGAGCGCACCTTGTGCGCGTACCAGCCGCGAAGGTGCCTGGCTGTCTCCTCTGTGAGGCCGACCTCGGGAAGGCCTGTGACCAATGTGGCCCAGACAGTGGTTCAGCCTGGCCATTGGCCCCGCGGTACGGCGATTGTAGACGAATCGCATAACCTGCATTTCGAAGTTGCCATAGGAGATTTGAATGCCCAAGTACTTGATCTGCGTTTCCAGCTTGTAAGTCGGGAAGGACTTGTGCTTGCCCAGTCGCCAGTGCTTTTGCAGCTGTCCCTGCGAGTCAGGGAGCCAGCACGTGTGCTTTTGAAGCATGGCTTCCGCCTCCCTACCATTTAGCTTGACTAGCACGGCACATTTGGCCGGATTGACGCGGAGTTGCAGCTTGTCCACCTCCGCCAGCAGCTGAAGAATCAGCTTGTGGGCTGCGTCCACATCCGCTTTGCTGCGGATGGTGCGGTGCATGGTGAAGTCGTCTGCATACCCTGTGAAGAAGTGTCGGACATTGTCCCAGCCAAATGTGTCAATTAACCTGTGGAGGAGGCGGCCTGTGAGCACCGAAAACAGCGTGGGGGCCAGCTTACATCCTTGTTTTATGCCAGCGGTGGTTTCCACATCTTGATAGGCCCCTTGCGAGTGAAGCCTATATTTTGACCGGTGGTGTAGGCCGTGTATGAGCTTCTGGAGCGGGGGGTCCGCGCCAAGTTCATCAAGCAGGGACAACTCAGGGACAATATCTCGCTACGCGAAACAATGTCAAATGCTTGTGATAAATCGAGAGCGAACGTGATGCCGCCTACTAGCCCTGCAGGACATTGTCCCCGCTGCTGATCCGCTCGAGTGAGGTTCGCATTGCGACAGAGTTGTCTAGCTTCGCGCAAATGCTGAACTACTCTGCTCTGTGCATCAGACAAGCCCCTTCCCTCGAGATAGGCAAACTGAGGCAAAGGCTTCATGTACGGCAAAGTGAGGGGCTCGAGGAGCTCCTTTGCCGTGCCAGCCAGACCCTTGGCATCCGGGCGGAGTATTCCGAGCGGCCTGAGTTGTGAAGGCTTGTCTGCTGGCTTGCCAGGCTCCGGAATGAGGCAGAGGTCCGCGCGAGTTAGATCATCATCCAGAGATTGGTCCTGCGTCAGGGAGAAGCAGCACTGCGACAGCGCTTCCGAGACCGGCTGTGCACAAAGCTTCCATGCCGCGGCGGGTGCCGCTCCTTTCGGAACTGCCTTTCCGGGTTTGATCGAGGCAATGTGTTTGGCCAACTTAGTCTGCGCCAGGGGAGGCAGGAGCCCCGTGGCCGGTAAAAGCTGCGAGTGTGCAGCAAAGACCTTAGTGGCGTACTGCCCCAGTTCATCCAACTCCTTGTCAGGACTGAGCAGAAAACCGTGCGTGTCTTTGAGCTGTGCCTTAAGAGCAGGCTTCCACGGCCTGAGCTGCTTGAGAGTCTGGTATGCCAGGTGTTGGTCACCTTGACTTAGAGCCTGATCTACCTCGGCCAGGAAAATCTGGTCTTGTCTTTTCGAGCTTGCTTCACCACCTGTTTGTGCTGAGCACACAGTGCCTGCCGGGCTTCATCGTCCGACCGAGACTCAGCTCTGGGGCGAGCATTGCTCCCACGCGCAGAACGCCACATGCATTTGGCAATCTGCGTTTCCGGACTATCTGGCATTGCCACCGGGATTTTGGGAAAGAACTTGGATGCGGCTTCTCCAAGCAGATGGTCCCAAGACTCCGGCTGCATGTCCGGGGTGAGGCGTTCCTTGACCCACTCTAGCATTTGCTGAGCCGGCAACGTGTTATCCCTGACGGCAGCTTGCAGGGCAGCAGAATCATACTGATGCTGTTGCAGCTGAGGGGTAGGCAGGTTCCAGTGCCTAACAGGCTTGACTGTGGCGCTGACTGGCAGATGCCCGCCCTTTTTCCAGCTGCCCAGCGGAAATCCCGCCAGCGGCGTAGAGGCTTTGGCATTGCCACCAGCTGAAACTTCCCTCGTAAACACAAAGTCTATCTGAGTGCGCGCGTTACCTTGTTGAAAGGTATGTGCGGGCTGAGGCCGCCACGTATTGAGAGCGACTAGGCGATGATTGATTAAAAAGTTGGTGAGCTCTGGCTCATCGGGCCTCGGTTCCTGGGGCCCTATGGTTTCCGGACCAACCAGTCTGGGCTGCTTCTGGACGGAGCTGTTGAAGTCACCTGCCAGGATAAGCGTGTCCCTGTGTGGTACACGCTGTACACAGCGACTGAGAGCCTTTAGAACCTGCGCCCTGTCCTGTCGATTGGCCTGTACTTGCTTGGCCGGAGACCAAACATGCTGATAGATTGCAATTAGCGTAATTCGGGCTCCATGCCAGTCGAATCGTACTTCCAAGGCCCTGCCTATGACGTGCTCCTGCCAGCGAACACCCTTGGGAAGGATGTGTGGGGACAGGAACACCATGACCCCATCCGAGCGAGTTGTTGAGGGTTCCTTGCGAGGCGGGGCGGGCTTGTCGTCAGTAGGCATTGCCTCCGCGGGAAGCTGCATCTGGGCCTTGCCCCCGCGTTGCTTGCGCCTAGAGGCCTTAGGGTCAGCCGCAGATGCTGACGAGATGCAGTACCAGCCTGCAACACTGAATTCGGCAGTGGCTTGCCAATGCGTTTCCTGCAGGACTAGGACATCACAGACAAATTTGGCCTCTGTGGATAGCCAGGACTTGACTTCCGACCATTGCTGCTGGCCAAGGTGGCCAGCATTCCAGGATAGTACTCGGAGGGGCCTTGTGGCGTTACCTGCCCGAGAGCGTGGTGCAGCGAACCTCCGGGGTCCAGGCTGTGGCGGGCAATTGCCCATGCGCCTAAGCAAAGCTGGGGTCAGAACCTGACCTCGGTAAGAAACAAGCTGCTGACTGACAGCCGCCCGATTGCAAACATGCTTGAAAGACTTCTTCCTGATCTGAGAATAATTTTGTGAGTGCACTGGTAGCAGCGCCATCCGCTATTTCGTCACAAGGCGAGCCGAGTGACTCCCTCCACCACGCGGCTAGTGGAAACCCTACCGCCTGCCCAATGGGCTGGCGGCTCAGCCGCAAACTGTTGGCACATGGCACATGGCTCAGCGTGAGGCACCAACCCTTAGTCGTTCGGAGAGAGGCCTGTTTGAGACCTCTAGCAACGCAAGGTTGGAATCCAGAGCCTGTTCGAAAGCCAGCACGAAGCTTCCAAAACGTCTGAGCCGTGGCGGCTACTTCGACGACTACTACTACTACTACTACTACTACTACTACAACTACTACTACTACTACTACTACTACTACTACTACTACTACTACTACTACTAGTACTACTACTACTACTACTAGTACTACTACTACTACTACTACTACTACTACTACTACTACTACTACTACTACTGCTACTAGCCACCCCCCCTACCCACTACCTCGTGTTGCATACGCTTGTAACATATACTCGGTATTTACAGCACTTTCGGCATGTAGCAACATCTTATGAAGCCTCAAAAAACACCTCTGAGTTTTGAAAATCCGAGATCGTTTTCTGGAATTTTTGTTTTGTGGGGGTGGGAGGGTGCGGGAAGAATGATGACGACATTGTTACACCGACACCCCGGACATCATCTCCGGAAGTGCCATGTTACTCGGTATTTACAGTACTTCCACGACGTCTGATATCTTATAATTATACTTCCACGACGTCTGATATCTTATATAGTCGCCAAGCCTACCTCTGGACTTTGCTACGTTGTCTTTTGCCTTTGCGAGGGCTTTCAGCGAAAAACTCGAAATTGGGTGGGGGAAAGCTTTTTTACTCGGTCTTTAAAGTACTATGCTCATGTCACACTCCATTACTAACAACGAGTTTTCAAACTCCAGCATCCGATTCTGGACTTGCTTTTGGCGGGGGGTGGGGGGTGTGCGGGAAGAATGATGACGACATTGTTACGCCGACACTCCGGAAGAGCTAGTCGCCAAGCCTACCTCTGGACTTTGCTGCGTTGTCTTTTGCCTTTGCGAGGGCTTTCAGCAAAAACTCGAACATGGGTGGTCATAACTGTTCGAGGCTGCCTGTACGTTATCAGCCCCGCCCCCCACCTCCCCCACCAAAGCAATGCATGCAAAAGGGGGAGTTGGTAGGGACTACTACTACTACTACTACTACTACTACTACTACTACTACTACTACTACTACTACTACTACGACTACTACTACTACTACTACTACTACTACTACTACTGCTACTGCTACTGCTACTGCTACTGCTACTGCTACTGCTACTGCTACTACTACTACTACTACTACTACTACTACTACTACTACTACTACTACTACTTCTACTACTACTGCTACTACTACTGCTACCACTACTACTACCGCTACTACTTCTACTTTCTACTTGATTTCTCAATGATTCTACTAGACTCTACTTCTACTTCTACCTCTACTACCACCACTACCACCGAGCGCGACTGCCACTGTGAGCACTGCAAACATTGACGACTACTCTCCCATTTCCTTTGCCGGCTTTGGGTCAAATTTCTGAAACCGATCCCACGCGTCACAGGCACATGCAAAGTGTAGTGCAAGAGGCGATGGATAAAACTGCACACCGTAGCATATGGAAACTGGACTGGCTGCTCCTGAATGCCGTTTCGCAGACCTTGTTGCCGAAAGTGCAGGGCTGCTGCATCCTGCTCAGAGCGCGGAAAAGCACTGTTTGTGTCTGCGTCGAGCGGCGCCGCGTCCTGGCCGCACGGTTCTGGACGCCAACCCAAACGTCGTCCTGTGCCGTCCATGCCTTCGACGGCCGGCGCCTGGCTCAGCAGGCTCATATATCAGATTCCCGACTACAGGGCGAAGTGAGCGAGCCTGCAGAGCTCCATCACGTTCTGCTCTTTCCACTAGAGCTTCGCCGGCCAAGGCAGCCATCACCAGCGATCCTGTTGCTTCGCTGCGCTGGCAAGTATCTCAAGCGAATTAGACTGGACGTCTCCTCTTACATTGCATGAAACCCACAGCATTCAAAACGCCAAAACACAATCGTGAGCGATGAGATGTCCTCTGGGCCGAGAAGAACCAACCACTTGCTGCCCTGCCATATGCGACACGAACGAAAATGTTAATGGGGAACGAGGGCGCTTTGTGTTGTCTTCAGCTGTGCACCTTGGGAGTCGGGCATCTCGTCGGCTGGCCTCCTTGACTCCAAGCCACACCAAAGAAACACCGAACCGTCCACAGTGCACTGAGCTGTTGTCAAGAAGTTCTATGCAGGATGACATGGATTCTTATATCACATCGTAGATGGCCTTCTGCATAGAACTAGAATCCTTACCACGGTAACTGGAGCTGAAGGCCGAGTAACCGGGTTAAGTCGCCAGGACGACATGCCAGAACCGCTCCGACCTCTCGAAACCGTGAAAGACTCTGCAGCTCTGCATGCGTTCCGCATCGTTCCGCGACACACGGCCGCCTCGCTCTGCTGCCACTGAGCCAATGCTCGGAGACTTTCCAGCTCGCGTCGCAGCTTCCGGTTCTCCAACGTCTGTGCGGCCGCCTGACTCGCGGGATCGAGGCGGCCGAGTGGAAAGGAAGCCGCGTGCCGACCTGTGCCGCCACTTCAGCGGAGTCTGCCTCCGCCTCCTCCTTCGGCACATCCAAAGAGCAGATTGAGTTTCTCAGGAGGTCCGAGCAGTCCGGCACTCTCCTCGGGCTCCAGGCGATCTGAACTCGCACTTGGCGGCGAAGCCATCTCCTGCAGGTGCCGTGCAGGGGAGAGAGACCTCAATGAGGCCTTGAGACGAAGGAGGAGCAGTCACTACACTCAGTAGCAGCTTCAGCGCTTCAGCACTCAATAGCATGCATGTTGAAATTTCGAGTTCTGAGGTGGATCAGCCTGCAGTGACAGACTGGGTTTTCAAGCAGCGCACGTTAAAGTGCTTTCTCCCCTTTAGGGGTGAATTGAAAACTGCAGGAAATGAGATTCAATCTTGGAAAAACCATGGAATTGTGCGCAAATATGCCAGGCCAGAGCCTGTGGGCCAGCCAAAGCCAGGGGCAGGGGGCAGGGGTCAGGGGCAGCGGGCAAAGACCATCCTGCGCAACGCATCCCCCGATTTCTTCGGGCGGGTAGAGCACGGAGATGGAAATCGCCAGAGAATTTTCGTATTCCGCAAACATTCCCACCCGCCATTTGAGAGTAACGGCATTCGAAAAGCCGATCACTCATAACCCAAGAGGGAGGGACATGGTCAAAGCAAGAGCATGTTCTTCACTTCAACATGCTCTATGACAGCAGTCGCACCGCGATGCACGATGTATAAGTGCATGTAGCTCTCGAACCCACAAAGTCCAAGGGTCGCATGACACCCCAGGTGAGGCGAGGCAGGGATGGTACAGGTATACACACATCACATAACATCCATAACATCCATAACATAGACATAATCATAACAGAACAGAACTGACCCGAAACTCCGAAAGAAAGGGCGCGCGCTTCTCTTTCAAAGGGACCCCCCCTCTCGGCTCTAAGCTCCAGCCTCGGCTCTTTGCAGCGGCGGGCTGCTGCTCCCTTTCAGCCGTCCCAGCTCCCGCGAGAACTCCAGCTCATGGCCTCGCAGCGCCTGCGACTCGTGGATTGCGAAGACCTTTGCTTTGGAGGAAAGGCAACCAACACCTGAGCTTAACCATAACCTGTGAATGGACACAGTTCTTCGCAGGTCCTGCTAAGGGCTGCTTCGGTTGGGCCGAGCTGGGGCTTCGAGGCTGATGGCATCGTACATCGAAGTACACTCCGAACACTTCAGGGCCTCCGCTTGCTGCAGCCTCTTCTCCCTTTCCTTCCGAAGCTCTCTCTCTCGCTGCTGCAGGTCCTCCCATGCTTTGCGCGTGAAGGGGTCTGGACTCTGTTTTGCATTCGCCCTCCTGCAGATCGCAACCCTGACCTGACCTGCTCCTTTCGCATGAGGCGCTGCTGCTCCAGGTCCTGAACTCAAAACGTTGCTCCACGGTGCTTCGGCCCGAGTCCCGGAGTCCCGAACACTCAAAACGACGAGCGCTCGGCGTGAGCAAGCTCTTGCTCTTGCAGTTCCCGTTCGCGCTGCTCGATGCGCTCGCGCCTTTCCTGGCGCTCCTGCGGCACAGAAGGGAAGCGAAATGATCCTGCAAAACGTGACGACGGCGGCAGCTACCTGAACCAAGGCTTCAAGTCTCTGCTCTCGCCGACGCTCGAGGTCCCGTTCTCGCAGCTCTCCCTCTGCATCCTCCTCCGCGGCGGTAAAGCAACCCTACACCGAAGGAGATCTCGGGGTTGGGAAGCATCTCCAGGCGCAGCGTTCCGCTCTTGTTCCGCATGCGCTCATCATGCGGAGTCCAGGACCCCTACTTTCTCCGAAGCTCCTCCTGCAGTTCCATAAGCTGCTGATGCTCCCTCTCCAACTCCTGGAAGCACGCAGCCGCCTGCGCTCCCTGCGCTTGAGACATCTTTGTTCCTCAGGCCTCCTGCCGGCAGGCCGTCTGCAGCTGCTGTCGAAGTTCATGCAGCCAGTGAACTTCACCACGCTGCCTGGCACCGTGCTGAAAAAGCAGACTGAAGGACGCAAAACGACATCAGTACCGGCCAGTGTCAGGCCTGTTTGCCAAGGAGCGAAGGCTCTTCAGCTCTCTTTCCAAGCGGCTGTTTTCAGCATGTGCCCTGGCAGTCCACACCAGGGCCTCGGGAACGGCTCTGCCGACGGCAATCTGGCCCTACAAAGAGATTTCTTGCTGTGGTACTAGGTACGGACCTTTCTACACAGGGTTAGTTTCCCTAAGGAGAAGCAAGCGCTGTCATGGGGAGTTAGCCTCGAAACCAACCTTTGTGCGAGTCGTCAGTTTTTCTACAAGCAGAGAAACCTGCTCCGGACTCACGTGACGTGGAAAGTTAGCTTCCCCTGAAACTTCTACAAACTTGGGTTGGTCCCTCATGTCGTGTCGTTCTTGCGAGCGACGGATGTGTCGCCAATGCCTCTGCCGTGGCGGGCAGAGAGCACTTCTGGGCCCAGCCTCATTCAGCAGCTTTAAAGGAGTCAAGGCGTCGACAACCGTCGCGCACAACTCCTGGTCTAGAATCTTCCTCAGGATCCGGCACTTCCTTGTCGTCTGCAGCCATGGCGTCTGCTTGGGCTTCTGCAGCTTGCAGCTCTTCCTCAATCTGCAAATCGACCGTATAAGCTTGTGGAGCACTGATGCCGGCTGCTGACAAGCTACCAGCTCTTGCCTGACTTGACAAGTCACGGGTTCTCCTTGAGCCGTTACACAGCCTGTGAGCGACATCAGCACCCTGCCTCAGCCTTTCTGTCTCAGCCTGGGCTTCTGCGAGCTCCTAGCCAGAAAGCACCGCCAGCAGCATTCTAGCTTGGCCATGCCACAACGACTGTCCACGAAGAATCGCGCCTCTGCCACAGGCACCACGGGGCGAGGACTTCGCTTAGAGCCACTTGAACGCACTTTGGCTGCAGGCTCGGCCTGCTGCTTGTGTTTTACCATTCCTGCTGAGATCTTCCGCACGGGCCTGCATTGTCGGAGCATCCTCTGAACTGAACAGAAAAATTGCCTCAAGATGGAAGACACTTGCATGGCAACGTCACAGACGAACATCTGCGAAGAGTTTCGCTGAGAAGCAAACACGCAGAAGCGTGTCAGTCAGGCAGAGGCAGTCACCTGGCTGTATTCACAACTCATCCCGATATCCTGAGATGCTCCTGAGAGACCCAGCTACATCACGATTCGGGGCAGGACAGCTCTACGTCCTTTCGCAGAACGGACATCGGAGTGCTCACTCACAGGTGTAGGGCGGCGGTTCAGCTAAAAATCACGCTGTAGATCACCTCTAAAAAACAGGCTGGCAGATGAGGTCCTGGCACGCTGAAAGACACATAGTCCTGCACAGAACGAATGCAGGATGCATGATGTCTTTCTGCTGATTCACATACAGCCACCGACATGTCCTGTTCATGTCGAAGAGGGTATGGGCGGCATATGTCTGCATCCTTCGCTCCGCAGACCCCAACAGAGGACAAGCTCCCGGCATCCAAGGGCGAGCAGCTCGGCGGGTGGAACCAGACCCAGCTGAGTAAAAACGGCCATGACCTTTTTCACAACAAACCCGCCGCGTGGAAACAGAGACGAGCACCAGGACCCACACAAAATCCCGTATTCCTCCGTTGCTCCACGTCAAGAAGCCACCTCGTCAGCTGTGCCAAGATCGTAGCTGCACACATTTGCACCACGAGGCCCTGGGACTGCGGCAACCATCCGCGTCACACCTTACAGCAGGATTCTGACTGCTGGTGACAATGTGGAGAACAGTCCCACTAATTTGCTTCGTGCATCTGCAGCACTCGCGAAAGACCTGAAGCGCAGTCCTCACCTTGGTTGTCAAGAAGGGTCGCAGCTCGAAACCCATTGAAGATTGAAGACCCTGCATTGCGTGTTCTTCCGCGTTTAAAGGCCCACGCGTGGGAGCCGGACTCGATGGCCTGCAGCATCCGAGCAGCGGACCTGGCAGCTCCGGTTTCCGCTCGGCTTCGGCTCCGCTGAAACTCACCGCCCTGCGTTCTGCGTGCTGCCCAGGTGACTGAGAGTTCGCGACCGCCACGGCCCTCAGCACCTGTGTCGACATCCCACATTTCTGGGTGCCAACTGGGAAACTTAGACTCGCACCGGAGCCAGCTCGGTGAAGTCCACTTTTGTACCATCTGAGAGGCGCGGAAGGAAGACAGAACAGCACCAACTCGAGATGTCTACTACTCATTCTTCACAGCAACACACCGAAACGTCGATGGTGATATTGAACATCTATGAATCACCGGGATGACGCCGGCTCGGCAAATGCAGAGGATGGGTCGACAGGCCGGTACATCGACATTTTGGCATGTTTACTGCTATGCACGACACAAAACAGGAGCTGTCGGTTTCACCACGTGCTGTCTCTAACAACGCCAGCTGGCAAACTGTAGGGTTTGGGCTGAAGGACACAAGCTACATCGCAGCGCAGGGCACAGCGAGTTCGATCCCCATCCAATCACCAGACTGCGCACTCAAATGAACCAATCGAAAAAGCCGGCGTACGAGTTGACGCATTGACATGAGGACCTGCCCGTAAAGACGCTCTGAGGAGCCGGCTGGGATACACGAGACCTCGATACCATCTGCCGTGTTTCCAGAATGCTCGCACCATGTGACGTTATGCCTTTGGCCTTTGGGCTCCAGACTTTGCAAGTGCATTTGAGGCCTGTAACTTCGCAAGAACTCCTGCGGTGCGCGCCAACGTCCAAAGTCCACATTAGTCCACACGTCATTGCCGATGCGCCTCTGCGGCGACCAGCGGCCCGCTTCGAAGTTGCACCTGCAGTTTTTTCCGCCGTGCTTCTTGACGGATGCTTACAGCTGATCAGCAACATCCACCTTCGCAATAAATCTCAAGCAGCCACCGCGCCCATACAAGCCCATAACACCCTTCAGATGGAAACAATTTCCACACTCACAATGCGCTAGCCAAATTTACATGAAAGGTGCACTGCCCTGTTTTGGTCGAAGCGCGAACTGCACCCGGCCGGGCACTCGGACCGGTGCCACTGCCGGGCGCGCTCACTTCTGCATCAATTTTTGACGTCATGCCCTCATCACCTATTTCGACCAGCCGGGCGGTGACCTCAGGGACGGTCGAGCAGAATACTTCGTAGTCCACCGCCAGAATTTTCAAGCGCTCCGCCCCGCAAGCTGGGGTGCTTCGCACCCGCACCCCGTAAAGCGCCTGCACCGCCTACCACAGCCACACATCAAGCAAGCGCGCACGAGCTCGATGGTAAAGGTAAACGAAATCGACGTGGACGCGGGGCAAGTCGAAAATGAAGTCGAACCGAATGCTTCGGCAGTCGCCCCCTGGAACTTGCTCCTACACGGACACGTGCCCTGAACAAGCCGGACCGTAAATACCTAACACCCTCGCACCTTGAAGAGCTCTAATCAGTGGGGGCCAGCTCTCGAATTGTGCGTTTGCGTGCCGGTGTCTGTGAAGTCCGAGGTGCATCCGCACGGTGTGGGAGTGGCCTCGGCAGTCAAGGGCGCGTCAAACACCGGCCACCAGCAGCTACAAGAAACAACATATTAAGCTTCGCAAGTTTTCGCGAGCTGTGGCACCGAGCTTGGAGGCAGCTCGGTCAGGCCGTGACGAAGACAAGCCTCACATCTGAACGCATCAACGCAGCGCCGCAAACTGTTTCCTAGTATGCGCTCAGATTTGCAAAGCCCACCGAGTGTTCAACCAGAAATCTCAGCGTTCTCAGTCACCTGCCGCAGCACACAGACTTCACAGTCTGCCACATCAACAACCCTTGATGCCTGTTCTAGTGGACGTCCACTCCGAGATGCCCAAGACCTCCAAAATTCCAACGTGGAGCATTGCACGGTGCACTCAGCAATAGCGACAAAATCTCACACCGCACCGGGCTCAACACCGAGCCGCTTGCACTTCGGATGCACTCTGTGCACTGCCCTGTCTCTGTCTCCGAAGTGTGCACCCTGACTTGGCTGCTTGCTGCTAACTTGCAGATACTGCCTGTGTGGCCATGGTGTCGATCATCTGGCCAAGATCCCTGTCTGACCTTCGGCAATATCGCTCTTTCGCAGAGATTCGACCATGTTACATCACAGGCGAGTGCCGAGGATCTGCACTGCCGAAGTCAACGGCCTGGGAGGGTTAAGCGAGCTCTGCCAGCCGTGAACGGGTCGGGTATTGAATATTGGTCCAACAACGACTTCAGAAGCACACGAAACCGCTGGAATGCAAGGTGTCCAGAATCTCCTTGTCCTGCTTGGCGGTGACACCTGCACTTAAACTCTTAGACTCTTACAAGCACACCACTCAACAGCCGAGCTCTCGATTGCAGATGCCAATATGAACGAGACTGGTGGGGGGGAGTGCAATCAGCCTTGTGACTCCCCCAGGATTCACAACCAACCCTGTTGTCTGAATTTTACGAAGTTTACGATGAACGAACAACACCGCTCGACTTTCAAACACCAAACATGAGTTACCCGGACGTGAGACCACCCAACTGGAGTGACAAACTTGGATCACGAAAACTGAACTAACCAAACTTAGACCACCAAGATTGAACGACAGACACGAGAAGGGAAGGGTTCTCAACAGAGGTCGTTGTTGAGTCGGCTTTGAGACATCTTCTCTGTTGGACAAACTTCAACAATATACTCAGTGCAGCACTGAGCATTTCTGATCGGTAGTGAGCGATTTCTTCCATGGCCCGGTCCCCGTCATTCCCCGTCTTAGAGCATTCCTGTGGCCCGTCAAAGCCCTGAGTGTGACTGTGCAGGCATGGTGGTGAACATCGGTACGAGCCGGAAGACTATCGTGGGGACACTGTTGTTTATCGGACTGTGATCATTCATGCTTCTTCGCGACCTACACACGGCTTCTGTTGGTTAGACCGGTGTGTTTCGCGGGAGAGCGCTGTGTCCTCGCAGGAAGCCACCCTGCCAGATCACGTACAGTTGTTTGAGCTGTGATGTTTGTTCTTACTATTTCAAACGATTGGGATTGCTAGGACTGAACACAGTGACTGGGTGAAGTTCGGAGACGACCTGGACCCGAGAGGGCGAAGTATTACCCTAGCGGGTGAGATTCTTGGTCTCGGCGGCTCTTCCACGGCTTCTGATTTGCTTCTGGCAGTGCAATCTGGCGCACCAAGAAGCCGCTCAAGGTAAGCTTCCTATTCCTATCGTTTCAGGGCCTTTCACGGCCTCCGCTTCGGGACTGCGTTGGGGGCCACAGAACAAAGGAGACACATTGAGGATCCAAGTGTCGGCTGCGCAGCGCGAGGGTTAGTCGCGCCTCAATCCATCAGTGCAGTGCGTTGCAAACACTTTGTCACGCGGGGACATCCGATCAGTGTAGCCGCATATGGGGTGATGGCGATTGGCGCGAGAAAAGAGACAGGGGAGAGGTCTCCACCAGCACCCCGAAAATCCCGCAAGCACAGAGGAAGCGGAAGCTTCTTGCATTCGGCCTGCCATGCGATGCAGACCTGGGCGAGCGGTGGTTTTGCCAAGCATGAGAAAAGCTGCATCAACCCGGTTCACAACAATCCAGGTGCTTTGGGTGTGTATCTGTACCGAAATCAAAGCTGAATGCTTGGGCTTAGCCAAAAGCCTGGATCGCCGCAGTGGCCGCTTGCACCGGCTGTCATGGGCCACGAGTGCCTCAAGCAAGGAACGACAGAAGCTCCTCGTCGTGCACATCAAGCATCCTCAAGCAGGGGCACTCCGACTGAGTGACGCCCCCCATCGGAGGCAGCGTGGGCGCCTGCGCTGGGGCCCGGTGGCCCTGTCCTGCAAACAAGGGCGGAATCGCAGCCTTACATCCTGGCTGCCCTGGCTGTTGTGTTGTCCTTGCTGTTCCGGCCAGGCCAATCCCATCTCAACAGGATGCGGCCCCAAAGGAGCCTCAGATGATAGGGCGCGGACATGTGTCCAAAACCGAAACTGATTCTGAATCCGTCAGGTGGCCGAGACAGGCGGAGGCGGCACCAAGGGCTTCAGCACAAGTTTCGGAGCATCCAATCCGCGAGGAGGCCTCACGCACACTGAGATCGGGCTTCCAAGGCTTTTGGAACAAATGCCGGCCATGTAGCAGGAGGGACGGCAGCATGTCATTTCCCATGCTTTGGACTTGCGTAACCCTCGGAAGCTTGCGGTGCTTGTTCCGAATAGCACACAAGACATCAGACGAATTCCGCTCAGGCATTGACGGCTCTTGAAAGGCTGAAAGATCTGAGTGAGGCTGAGGCTCCAAGCACGGTGCCATGCCCGCCGGCGGGTTGGGGTTGCCATGGTTGCACTGGCACTGCCACGACTGCCACGAGTGCGGTGGCTGTGCCACCTGGTGGTTCACGCACTGCTGACAGTGCTGTGGTGCTCGGGCGAAAGGCGATGGGTGCAAGCTTTCCGGCATTGGCACGTGCGGCATCCAGAAGTTGGGAACACCGTTTTGGTTCGCATTCTGATGGAGGAACGGGCATTGGCTTGGCTGCAGGAGGCCACCGAAACTTGCGTCAGTCCTGAGAATCAGCCGGTCATGCAAAAGCAGATCGTGTGCTGCACTGTCAGTTCAGATGGTGCAACCTGCAGCAATGACAAATTGCAACTAGTTCAAGCGACACGATGCACGGTATTGCACAAGAACGGTATATCGCCCAAGAACACGGAGACATGAAGAACTTAAAGCTTGTTCAAGGCTGGAGACCCGTGCAATTGCTGCAAACGAGATTGAAGTAGTTGCTGCCTCGGGCGAGAAAACAACGAGAATCGCACCTGCGCAGATCAACACCCACTTCAAATGACCAAGACTTGGCTCCATACTCCAAATGAGCTTGATACTGCAACTCCTGTCCCATTCACTGAGTCGAGTCTAATTTACCAGATGCGTATCATCGTGCAGTGTGCGTTCTACCACGAATCCTTGCCGAGCTCCCCGTCCCATTCCACCATGGTATGGAAATTTCCCGTGTGTAGCTAATTAGGTGGGTTTGGTTAGGGCTCGCCTCCTGGCAGCTCATGCAGCATGTGACTGATGTTTCTCATGCAATCGCAACAGTCTGGTCTATTCGCTGCTGGGTTTGGAGCGTCCTCTAATCTTCAGGTTCGGCTGCAAGCCTTTGTGTGCCAATGTTTTGCTAAGCCTTCAGTTTTCTTCAAAGCACTTGACTCCACGGAAGCGTGAACGCCTCACGATGTTCCGGTAGCTTTCTTCTTCGTGCGATTCGACCACGTTTCCCACATGTTCTGATGCTGTCCTCAGTCGCCTCGTGCTTTCTGCATGTCCTTGCTGTTTCATTTGAGGTGCGGGTTCGTCTTCATCTGCTGCAGCCTCCAGAACCACAGACTTTGCAGGGCTTGCGGGGTCTTTCACCCACATTTGCTCCAGTTGTCCGATGTTCTTCTACAGGCGTTCTATGTAGTGCTCACCACTTCGGTACGTTCCAAGGAGAAACGAACAGCTGTGACTTACTGCTTTAATATCTCATGGTTGGGCAGCAAAGCCCGCAGCAAAATCTGTGTCATGGTCGTGCATGGTTGCGGTTGGGTGGGTGCTATGCTGTGGGGCTTTTGGCTGGGCTTCCCTCGCGTTGGCTGAGATGCCTGATATCTCAGGGCCTTGCTTCACTCTTGGCCCTTGTGTCAACTTGGAAACGACGTGGAAACGACGATTGCGTGTCAACAAAAAAACATCTCAAGACGGACCCCCATTCCAAACTCCCCTGACTGACACACACACACACCTCAGCTTCACGAGTCCTGCAGCGAAGTCAACCCATTCGAAGATGCAACCTGGCGTGCCGTCGCAAAATTGCTCCAAGCTGCCAATTTCGTGTTACAAACTGGAAGTTTCAGATGCATGAGTAGTGGAAGCTATCGCTAAGCAGAGCACCTGCTCTGGCGGTAGATTCCGTGTAGCAGCTGCCTGCTCACGACACGGCCGATGCTGCTAACATCGGCAACTTGCTGTCTACGTAGGTCTAGATCCAGACCCTTCTTAACCACACAACTTGACTGCATCTGGGACTGTGGGCAAGATCTGAAATTGAAAGGGATCTGCCGCGTGCCGCAAAGTGCAGCCCGGGGCAGTGCCTACATCTCGCCTGGCCCTCGGCCCTCTCTCGAAAAGTCGGCTCCATGCTCGCGCAGTCGACACTCGCAGATGTGCGCGACCAGCACTGCTGATGGCAACAGTCCATTAGTAACTAGTAACTGGTAACGAGTAATTATGACGTCAGAAGCCTAGCAGATTGACATTTCACAACAAGGCTGGACAGAACCCAAGAGATGAAGAGCTCAGCCATTGCGAAACAAGTTTAAAACAACTTGACATTGATTCTGCGAGCGCACTGCACACCTGGTCTGGCTGAATAAGCTGAACATGTGCTTCGTCGATGCGCAAATTGCCGTCTTGATCCGGCACCTCGGCAAGATTTTGCAAGCTCGCAGTCAACACATGTCCATGCCCATGCCACTCGTTCTGAGACACGGCGGCAAGTCGAGGTGCACGTGGGATGATGCGTGGTGCCTGAAGGCAGTGGGGGTCACAATCACGAGCACTGTCTTGACTTGATCGTCCCGGGTGTCGTATCCGTGGTCAAGACGTACCCTATAAAAGATTCCTGGAACGCCTCCGCACAAGGACAACCTACGGACCTCGAGTGCTGATGAAGTACGTCCCAGGTCTTCTGGGGCCTGAGAAGTGGATTCTGCGGCGTCCTTTCCATGCGTTTGCCCAGGTCCCGGCCATCACCAGTGTCATCTCCAGTTCGTAGGCATCGTCAGTCTTAGCAAAGTGTGGCCCACACACACACACACACACGCACACACACACACACACAAGCTCGATATCACTGGCCAGATCTGCAACCCGGCTTCTCACATCTTACATTCCCACCAACGTTGAGAAACTCGTCCGGGCCATCTCGCAAATTTAAAGACGGCCGCATCGACAATGAAACTGGCTGTTTTCGGAGTCTTAGGAGTCCAAAGGGGGGTCTCATGAAATGTCTAATTATGCCTTTCTGATTGACTTCGTCGTCTCACACAGCTCTGCAGATTCCAAAAGGCAGAGCTGGAGCCAAGAAGTCAAGTTGGGCCATAGAGTGCTTGCAGCCCACGGAAGTTTGCAGTGCCGCTCCTTTTGAAGTCAGGTCCAGACAAGTACAAGCGCTTAGCGAAAAGTTGGCCTTGCCCTTCGCAGTTTGCGTGAGGCTGGCTGGCAGCGGCTGGCATGTCACTGCAGGCTGGAATGCTCTTGTAGCGCAGGCCTCCAACATTCACAGGAGTTCCCGGCAACAGCACCTCCATGATATCAAGCTACTTTCACTGCAGCACTGAAACTGCGGCACAGCTTTTCCTCGCACCTGATCGGAAGGTCAGACTCTCAAACCAAGAAAACACCGGGGGTTTGTGAAAAGCTAGATTCAGTTAGAGATTGATGCGGTCCCGCTTAGACCAGCCACCTTGAACAGCTTGAGGCCGATTCGGCGGTGCTTGGCTACATGACCACGCATGGATCCGAGGAGTCGTGTAAGAGCTCGTCGGCCGAAGGGAGTGCCGGGATAGCGGAGCCAGTGATAGACTCGTTGTGCTTCTCGGGCCAACTTCGTAGTTGAGGAGCAAAATGTGTGTCATCGATGTTCCAGTCGTGCCGAATGAAGTGCAGTTCCTTTGAGTCCGTCTCCCACGCATTCTTCACCAACCACTCCAGCCAGTCGCCAGAGTCGTTGGACGGCTGCACGGTCGGTTCTGGCACCGTTTCGCTCATGGTGCCATGGTCGATCATGTAGCGTGGCTCAGGGGGAGACGGAGCAGCTGAATATCCAGAAAACACCAAAGTTCGCAGCTGACATTCCTCCTCTGAATCAGCGACATCTGGTGCCCCCGTCGCTAGCTTCCGTGCACCATGGAGGATTGGAGACATCTCTTCCCAGGGCATTGAACATGTATCATCCAATGAATGAGTATCATGCCTGTCTGGAACACTTGTGACCGCAAAGGTGCTGTTGGGACTGAAATTCTGGTGCGGGCTCACACACATGTCCGACGCGTGATGTTCTGGGGAAGCTCCATGTTGTGCTGCTGGCTTTGCTTCCGTTTCCATGGATTCCTGCCCGAGCAGAAGAGAAAGCTTTGCCTTCACCTCTTCGAGTTTAGCTTTTTTCTCCGGATCTGTCACTGACAAATAATCTGCCTGGATGAAGATCAACTCGTTGCCCTCGCTGTCATATTCTCGAGGCTGGCCACACCGCTGACAAAACACTGCATCTGCCCGGTATGTATCGTGGCAGTGCTGACATTTGTCGAAACTCTCACTGGGCTCCGGCGAAGCCGGATCGCAGATGGACTTTGGGTAGGATGAATAACTAGACACTCCTTCAACCGAGACACGCGACTCCTCGACAACAGTCTGCAGAGCCAGCGCCTGCTTCCCCCCAGAGGATTGCTCCGCAGGAGCTGCACGGACAGCTGAGGAAAAAGAGTCCCTCAGTTCCACGAACTCACCGTCTAAAAAGGTTCTCGACGGGTGTCTCTGCCTGCCACAGTTTCGGCAGGATGAGAATTCGCCTGTACAAACACTGCGACAATACGGGCACAAATCGAAGACTCCCTCAACACGCGGTGTGATTTGTACAGATGGCGGCTGCGTGAGCGGCTGTCTCCATGGCTGCGAAGAGATCTGCTGCATGGTCGCAGTTTAGAATTCGGCACGAGATAACGGTTGCGTTCATCCAAATTTCAGCTACTCAATACCATTGTCCACTGTTGGCTGCCGAAGCGCTACTGATTCTGCAACAACAGACTTGTCTTTGATGGCTTTGGTGAGACCTGCTTCAAGGCCAAGCTGCGCGATTGGATGTCGGGAATGCTGACAAAACCGTGCAGGTGTGTGCATGCGTGTGCTTGGAGCAGCTGTTAGCAGAATCTCGACCTGCTCAACGTTGTCAACAGTTCCATCATCATTCAGCAATGTGACCCTTCATGATGACAAGGTGCTCCTGCATCAAGTGCTGCTCGGCCCAGTTCGCGAGTCGGAACGTTGGGGATCTTTGGTTCACCGCGCCTGGGTGACTACCGATGACTGCAGCGAGTCATCAAATTCTCCTTTCGCAGTGGTCCGCATCAAATGCATGTGAGTTGTAAGACCATGCAAGCACCACAATCGTTGGCATCGGTCCTGACCCGCAAAGAACTGTGAAGCCCCTTGCGACGAGGAATGTTGCAAACGCTTTGCATCTCCGGCTGTATGGCAAAGTGCCTCTACAGCGATATTAGCTCTCCAAAGCATTTGTTGACCTCTCCCTTGGTCCACTGACGGTATCTGTAGTTTGAGTGGCTTTAGCGTCTGTGACTATGCAGTTCTCTGGTTTCCTGTTAAGAATCTCGGAAGCCGGAGCTCTAAAACTTTGCGACTTGGCTTGGGGCCACACTTCAGATCGTGTACCTCCTCTTCGTCCACCTCCTGAACCGACCTTGCATGCGACTTGATCGAGGTCCTAGCTGGGCTGCCGAGCACTTCGACATGCCTATGCCGTCTTATGCTGGCACCGCAGGCTTGGCGATTCAAGCTTGCCTGCGGACCGGACCGTCCAACTTCCCCTGCGAACTATCAGTGACACTGCTGAGCCCCCAACACACACCTTGTTCTCGGAGTTGGCCTCTCAAGATGCACATATCTGTTAGGGTGCTGAGCTAAGGTCTGAGACACCATCATGTCTTGCACCAGAAGGACTCTTAAACAGAAGGCACACACTGACAATGTGTGGGTTGCTAGCACGTGGAACCTCTGGAGCACGTGTCTTCTGTTTGATGCTTGCTGAGGTTTTCTGTCGGATGCACGACAAGCGTTGCACCGACTGTTGAACTGCTGCCAGAAGGGCAACGAGTGGAGCAGGTGCAGAGTGCTGACAGAAGCTCGTCATCCGATCTGGCGACAGGCTTCAAGACTGTTGGAAGGCAAGCGCCATGGCTGCACCTGTAGTGCTGTGAACGGTACGACCAGGGTACGTCTGCGGCAGTGCATGGCCGCGTGTTCAACGTGTCCGGGTTTCAAGCATCGGATGGAAACTCCAAAATAGATTCGTACGATCCCGTTTGTTGGACAACATCTCCTACCTACCATGGCCACCCACACAAAAGACAACTTCGCAAAGAAAAATTGACCATGAGGTTTATGACCACGGCAGCTTCCAAGCGAACATGCCCCCCCCCTCTCAGTTAAGCTCAGCAGTGGGTGGGCAAAGTGAGCGATTGCAGGAGCATGACACACAGCGCATGACATCATCAACGTAGTAGCGGGGCTTTCTGTGTCGGCATGTCAACAGTGTCCTTCCTCCTTTTTGTTACACTGGCACCAAGGACTTCCGGGTTCCGACTTCGGCGTGCCGACATCTCCTCCAAAAGACTTCTCGAAGACATCGCGGTTGTCCAGATTTTGCATCTACCTCTTACTCAGAAGATAGGAAAACCGGAGCACGACACAGGTGAACTACGGTTGGGGTTCAAGCTGTTTATCAACCATGGCCTTCCACCTAGGCCGCCCGACTAATGCGGGTAAGAACCTGGAACCACTGATGATGACAGCGGAGAGGACGCAGGAAGCCCAAGCAAGCACCTTGTTGGACGACCTGACCACATGGATGATCTGATCTGTGAAGCGAAGTGACAGGTGAATGTTCCTGGCACTGTCTGCTGCCATCTACAGACGTTCTTGCGCCGCTACATTACATGTCACACTGGTGTTCTGATGCATGACCCCGGGCCCTGCACTTCGGAAACCACAGGGAGCAGACTGTCAGAGGTTCAGATTTCAAGTTAGCATCGTCGTAAGGCGATAAGGTGCGCAGAATGGGAGCCCTTGATGCATCTGCATGCCGCTTAAGCATACGTTTATGCACCAAGAAGAAAGCCATTGCGGCTATTACCCTCTTTCTCCTACGCCCCTCACCCTTACTGTCACTCCGGATAGCATAAAAGCCCTCCTCTCACATCGCCTGGTCTGCAAGATGAGCTTCTTAGGCTTGGGATGAGCGCAACATGCTTCCAAAGATTGCCCCATGTCCTCAGTGCATTCAGCAACTGGCCTTGTCAAGTCAAGACAACACAGCGAAGAGTTGTTATCTTTGGCTCCAGCTTTGCTTTGGTGGCCAGCCGTCCATGGATCCCTAGTCAGACGGTCTGAAATCAAAGAGTTCCACTAATGCAAACCTGGACCCATCTGTAACCACGCCGACACCAGTTTGAATAAAACGTTGCGATGTGGCGCGTGCGACCTGGCTCGCTGGGTCTGAAAGCAAGAAAGTTGCGGCCACAGAACAATGCTCGAAGCTTGTTGCATTGCTCAAGTACTGCGGCAGTCATGGATGATTTCAGCCATGCATGACGATGCTTGCTGCGACATTCCGCATATTTTCTTCAACTCTCCGTCGGAATCTCTTGCAGCTCGCGCTGCAAGCTACAACTCTGACCGAAATGTCTGCTAAATTACCGCTCTCGGTGTGCGAGGCCGCAGGATGCGCCGAGCTCCCGGTCACAATCAGCAGTGTCAGCAAGAAGACCACACAGACGAACTGGCTTGAGTGAGGAAGCATTACAATCACTGCTGATGACCGGAGGAAAAGAAATCGGGGCAGACATGAACGAGCTGGTGGTATTTTTTCCTCAGTGTTTTGCTTCCGCCTAGAGAGATACGATCCAAAGTTCATCGCATCAGACATCATACAAACCACCACAAACTCAAGCATTCGAGCAATACTGTTCTATGACGGTGAGTCTTTAGAAGGACGCACCGACGTGTGCAGGACGCGCAGTGCACTTCGTGCAGGCGCGAAAATGTAGCGAGTGTTCAAAAATAACGACCATCCTATCAAGGAGATGCAAAGACTCCAAATTTCAATCAAGCTCGTGTACTCCTTCCCCTCACAAGTCATGGTGTGAGGGGTCAGCTGGAGCCACACCTCGCAATCAGCTGCAACCGAGCCCTGACAATCTGTGCGATGCGGTGCACGGCGGGTTTGCTTTGCCTGATTCGTCCCAGCAGTGTCCTGACACTGGAAACCTTAGCACAAATGAGCCCTGCTTTGCACAGACCATGGATTGTCTGCAGTCAATGGCACACCTCAGCTCACTGCACGATGCACAGTGTCACCGCAATCCAAGCCGCGCAGGAACTCCTGAATACAGAAGCTCAGCTGCCAACTAAGCTGGCAGTTGAGCATGGAGAATGTCACGAGCCATGCTCTTTAGTAAACTTTAGGACCGTATCTTTGATGTACCGGGGCACCCTGATCTTAGAGGTAGCACATCTCTTTGTCACATCTTGCCACACAGCCCCAACCGCTACCATTGCAGTCTTCACATGATGATTCTGCTCCAAGATTGAAAGAACCACCCCGACCCCCCCCGAAGCAAACATGTCCATGAAGGAGCCCCTTGTCGCTCTTGAACCTTTGGAAGAACCATGAACAGCCAAAGAATCCCAAAGGCTACAAGCGACCAACCATCTCTTGTCTTTCCCAATCTGGAGCTTCGCGGAGATGGAAAACCCACTCAGCAAAAGTAGGCGTGGCCTCTTGCTTTACAGTCTGCACTGTGCCAGGCCGGCATATTCGAGTCCAGCCATGGAAAGCTTTCCTGACGTGCACGACCGCATCAGACACACAAGACACATTGATTGTGCGGCCATAGACCGCATTTGAAGTATTCATTCCGAGGATCCCATCAACCTGGTGATGAGCGGCAGCATGGGTGCCTGATTCAACTCCGACGACAAAATTAGTATCCACACTTCTGTGATTTCTGTGTGCACTTTGGCAAATATGGCTCGAAGCATTTTGAAAGCTCCTTCTTGCTGGAAAAGCTCAGACTCACACAGCCTACACTGTGCCAAGCTGTCATGTGGTGAAAAGGCATTTGCCAGAATCCATACGCGAGCAGAGACGAAAACAGACTTCCTCTCACCAAATCTTGCCATCTGTTTACCTTCTATGCCTGCAGAAACTAGGTTGCGGCATCAACCGCGACCGCGCGCGGCGACGGCGCATTGAGGGTTTGCACAGTGTTTAGGGAAATGTTGTTTTTTCTCGGCATTTTTGCGCATTTGTGTTTGGAAGTGTGCGGAGCCACTAGTCAAAAGTGTCGTTTTTGCCACGACTTTGAAGACCAATGTGTAGAAAACACCGGCTGGCGTGGCATTTTCGCAACACACTGTTCGAGCACCTTCAAGTGAAAACTTGTTCAGGCTGTTTTTTTTTGTTTTGTCCTGTTGATGTTGTGGTGGTGGTGGCGGTGGTGGTGGTGGTGGTGCTCGTGGTAGTGGAGCTGGTGGTGGTGATGGTGGAGGTGGTGGTGGTCGTTCTTGTTCTTCTTGTTGTTGTTGCTGCTGCACTTTTTCTTGTTGCTTTGAGCTTGAAGGCTTCACAGAAGTCTGTGGTTGTTGTTACGAGCTTCAGGGCTTGACGCAACTCTTGGAAACTAGTTTAGCGCGCTTTGCTCGCTTTGTTCTTCGACCCTTCTTCGGGCCAGAGCGTTTACAGAACCGAAAGACTAGTGGTGACAGGATGCATGCGCAGAGACGTTATTCTGCCCCCCAGACCATCCCCCCCACCACCCCCAACCCAACCAGTAAGAGTCCAACAGCCTAAAGGGCAGGAGGCCGCAGCAGTTTTTTGGGCGGCCCTATGCAACTCGCTCAGCAACAACTCCGCAAGAACTCAGGTCTGTGAGAGAACTACGTAGGATTGTGCTTCTAGGAGTGTCTTGCACGTTGGCAACCTCACTAGCGTACTCCAAAAGTGGCGGTCTACAGCTGTTCTGTGAGCTTGTAGATAGGAGTACGGGAAGGTAGGGCTGTGAGTGGCTGGGGGTCTTGAGGACTTTAAAAGCCAGTGCCAGAGAAGTTTCGTGCAATGTTTCGTCCAGTGGACCCTTCGCCTACCTGGCCTATGGCCTGCTCTTACCGTTCCCCCGCTGTACTGAAGGACCTAGTAAAACAGCAGTTCCGTTCTATACTGTTCGGATGGGATCTGAGAATGTGCCCGAAAAGTTTCAGCTGTGCTTTGTGGATGTGGTGTGTGAGAGGTGGCTGTGAAGTGAGTGCTCTCACTTCCTGATTGGTGTATGTGCGGGCTGTGGGGTTGAGAACTTCGGTGTAGTAGGTGCTTTTGAAGTGTAGGATTTTGCGAAGTGACTGTGAGTGGAAGGCCTCAAGCCTGTGGTAGTCGCCGGCTGTGAGCGCTGCAGACTCTAGCCCGTATGTCACCAGGGGAATGAAGACCGCGTTGTATATGCGGAGTTTCCACTTCAGCGTGAGATCAGTGTTGCGCCAAAATTGGTGCAAGGAGTGGAAATGTTTCCTGGCTTTGGCCAGCCGTGTGGTGACGTCCTTGCGTGAGGAGCCGTTGCTGCTGAGCATGACTCCAAGGTACTTGGCGTGTTGCTCAATGGTGAGTGGGGTACCGTCTGTGAAGGTGATGGTGTTCTGTGAGGTGGGGGAGCGTAACAAGACGCACTTTTTGAGGTTGAGGTGGAGAGCGGCTACACGCTGCAGCGTGTGAAGGAGCTGTTGCGCCCTGGTCGCCGTTCCCGCCATCAGTGCTGTGTCGTCGGCGTAAGCTAGGTCGTAGAAGGGCTGGTTTTGGCTGTAGAGCCAGGGGAGGAATTCCCCGTTGGCTGTGAGCTCTTGGTCCACGTCGTGCATCACCATGCCATGCACTATGAGGAAGAGGTAGGGAGACAAAGGGCATGCCTGCCGAATACCTGAGCTCGCCTCTTCTTCAGTGCTATGTTTGCCTGCTGCTGCGACCCTGAACTGTGGTGATGTGTAGATGTTCTTGATAAGTGCTGTGAAGTGCTGTGGGACGCCGTAGCGCGTGAGTGCGGTGAGGAGTGCGTCTGGGTGGATCTTGTCGAAAGCCTTCTCCCAATCGAGAAGGATGGTGTAAAGTGATTGTCCAGTTGCTTCCGCTCTTTCAATGAGTCTGCGGATAATGTGGATGGGCTGTGAGGTAGAGCGTGTTGCTCTGAACCCGAATTGGGTTTCCCGAAGCCTGTCATCCAATGCTGCATGGAGTCTGGTGTGGATGATCTTAGCAAAAAGCTTGTATGATGTGTTGAGAAGTGAGATTGGTCTGTAGCTGGCTGGGTCTGTGAGTGGTCCTTTGCCCTTGTAAATTTCGACCACTATTGCTTTGTGCCAATCGTCGGGTGGCAGGTGGATGAAAGGGGTCGGTGGGACCCGTGGTGTTGGTGGTGGGGCCCAATGTGAGTCTCGCAGGTATTCTGCAAATGTTTGGGCTTGCGGTGAAAGGCTTGTGGGCTTGCCCTGTGAGTCCCGTATTGAGATCGGCCTGGGCTTGTAGTCCGAGCGTATCCTTTTGATCCACCGCCACTTTTGGCGCGGATCTAAGGTGGCCTCGCTTTCGGCCAGGCGCTCTTTAAGCCATTGTGTTTTGTCTTTGCGTGCTTGTTTTCTGATGTCTTTAGGCCGCAGCAGTAGTAGTCTGAACAGGAAGCACTAAAGGGCAGCAGGCATCAGCAGTAGTAGAGCTAGTCTGAACATAAAGCACTAAAGGGCAGCAGGCATCAGCAGTAGTAGAACTGCTAAGAGTAGAACAGGTTCGTCATTAAGCCCCCCCCCACCCCCCCTCCCCCGAAGCCTCAATAAAGCACTAAAGGGCAGCACGCATCAGCAGTAGTAGAACTGCTAAGAGTAGAACAGGTTCGTCATTAAGCCCCCCCCCACCCCCCCCCCCACCCACCCCCCGAAGCCTGAAAACATGCAAAAACCTGCAAAAACCCTGCGGTCACCCCTAACGCCGGATGCACGATGATGCCTCTCGAAGCTCCATCATGGAATCAAGTCTTGCAACTGTCTAGGAACCCACCTCCATTCGCTTTCATGCTTTCAATCTACACTTCGCTTCAGCCCTTTCCCAAGATGCATTCAAACCACCCGCTTCATGCCTCTGTTTATGGTCGGGAAGTACATCGCCTCCACCCTTTCCTTATAATATCCTAAAGCCGAGCATCCTGCATGCGCAACCTTCTACATGCAACAGGCAGCAACTCCGGCATGCGAAGGAAATGCACGGCTGCACTGACTGCAACTACACACAACAGGATTGCTCTTGCCGAGGTGGAGCAGGCTTGTAAAAAGCAAGCCGCAAGCCCTTGAATCCTCACGACATCCCGCGACATACAACCCATGTTACCCACGTCAGTGAGGCCCAGACCTGCCATGACTCCAGTCCTGACCGAGAGACAAACCAGCAAAACTCCCTGTCAACCGGCACCATCCTGCATCAGCGGGCCTGCCCATGCCTCCCATGCAATGAAGGGCTATCGTGCCGTCTTTGCTCAAGGCTTTTTTACCTGAGCAACTGTCAGAGTCTTGAAGGATTCAGGTCGGCTCCGACTAAGGTAGCGACATTGCTTCAAGAACTCATTGACAACCGCCTGGCAGCAAACACTGTTCAGCCTGCCAGAGAGTCTTGCACCATCTCCTGTTGCACCAGCAGACTTCACCGGTTCGGATCAAAACCCTTGGTTTCCTCACACTGTTTCTCTTGGCATGCAGCATGATGGAGTGCTCTCGAACACAGGCCATCTGTAGCCATGATGAAACCGAAAGGAGCAACCGGTGCACCACCTTGGAGGGGACGTCACCGTCCGTGAAAGGGAGATGGTGCACTCGAACGCCTTGTCTCATGAACGCCTGGCATTGACGCAGCGTCAGAGCAGGACACTTGCCCGGGATCCCCATGCCTTCTCGTATTTGTCTTGATCCTTGCACTCATAGTCGTAGTTGAGCCTGCCGTCGTGGAGTGAGGCTGCGTCCCCCTCAAGTCCCGAAAACTCTGCCGTGCCTTGTGACCTCGAAGACTTTGCTGCGTAGCATCAAGGAAATGAAAGTGTCCGCTTCAAGACGTTCGTGCTCCGCTGACCTGCGGCACGAATGGCTTCTCTTCTCCCGCACAAATACACAAAAACTGCACGGCCAAGAACCAGCCTGGAGAAGGGAAGCTTCCAGGACACACCTCTTGGCACGCAAGTCCCACATCCCACAACTTTGATAGCTCAGCGTTCGGTGCCAAAGCCGGAGGTCGTTGGAGCCCCATCAGCTACATGCGGCATGTCCGCTCAGCTCCCTCTCCTCGACGGATGTCGTCCGATGTGGGAATATTCAACCAGCCTCCAATTTCAGACGCTCTGCAGCTTCTGGTCCGAAACACAACTTGTTCGTGCCAAGCTTCGAAAGCCCTTGCAGGCCTTCTGAGGAGCTTCGATACTTCGAGACGTCCTGCAAGCAAGCGCGACTGATAAAGCCGGCAGATTGCAACGTAAGTTTGCGCACACCATGGAAACGTAGTCACGAAGACGCGGAGACCGCTCGAAAGGTTTGATGCAGAACTGAAAGGAGTGCATCTTGCACGGCTAGCTTCTCTGTGGAACTCTCGAAGAGCCTCAGCATGGTCTGCGATGCTGCCACCTCGTTTCAACGAGAAACCTCTGCTGTCCCATGTCGCTGCGATTATCGAGGATTCAGGGGCACCGGCCCGAGTCTGAACTTGTCAGACACTCGTCTTCTCGCAGCCTCCGAAGCCGAAGTGCCGGGCACTCCCGCACACCGCGCGCACCGCACGCACAGCCAAAGCAAGGCTCCGGCCGTTGATCCGGTGCAGGCCCTCAAAAGTTGTTCACAGAAAGTTCTCTGCCGCTATGCCATGTTGGCGCCCCCCCAACCCCACTGCCCGCGCCTCTCTCCAATAAGCCTGGAAACCGTGGATTCTGTGAAGTGCCCAGAGGGTTCGCCATGGCCAAAATTTCGCCTGGCAACATTGAGAGAGCTTGAGAGCGCCATCATGATTCAATGATGCTACGGATGCTCGAGGCCTGCCTGGAATCAGCCAAGAAGCGTCGAACTTCTCTCGCATAAGCTTCCAGGCTTCTACATCAAAAAGGTGAAAGTCCTCTCTAAAGGAGGGGGATGAAGACATTTCGAAGCACTCTCGGAAAGAGTCCTCGAGCCAGCTGTGTTCCCGAGCGGCTGCCAGGCCTCGAGCTGGCACAAAAAGACACCCTTACTGACAAGCTGGAAGCTTTGGCTTGCGCCATGCCTCGCAAGCAGTCATAGACTGTGAGAGACGTAGGCCCAGTCTCTCCTGTAAGATGCAATGACAAGAAAGGATGACCAAGATCCAGAACCATAACTTTGCGCTGCACCTGTGTTGGAAAACGGTGGGGGGAAGCGATCCCATGCAGCCTGGCGAAGTAATACTTCGGAAACCACACATGTTTTGTCATTCTGTACAAACGATTGAGCCTTCGCATCGCTCTCTGGCGTGTCACAAACTGCAAGGACACGTTCCCATGCTTCCTGAAAGGACCGCAGCCACCGGCTACTCTGTGAGCGTCAACACAACAGTCTTTTGCCATGGATGAGCACGACGTCTTTCACTCGGGCTTCTGACAGGAGGGGCCTTGGGCGTCAAACCGCGTGCCAGTACCAGAAATGCCCCCGCCAGCACCGCGCTCACGGCACGCCTCCACGGAAAAGGCAGGTCTTTTTGATGCGGATGGCGCATTTGCTTAAATGTACTCTCCTTTTTCACCTGGAGCCGTTTTCTGCAGATCTTACAATTTGGCCGAGGTTGTCCACGTAAGCTTGCATCCCTCCCTTCCCTCCCTCCCTCCCTCCCTCCCTAAACAGACTAATATCAATGAAACAGGTTACGTCCGTGTCCGTCTCTTTCTATGTCTCTCTTGCACACTCACTCGCTCGCTCACTCACTCACTCGCTGACTCTAACATCTCTAACTCTGACTCTGAACCTGACCCTGACTCTGACTCTGACACTCTCACTCGCACTCTCACTCGAGGGTAGGAGGGTAGGTAGGTAGTGCAAGGTGGGTAGGTGAGTAGATGAGGTGGTTAGGTGGGCAGGTGGGTGGGTGAGGTAGGTCGGTAGGTCGGTAGGTCGGTAGGTCGGTAGGTCGGTAGGTCGGTAGGTCGGTAGGTCGGTAGGTCGGTAGGTCGGTAGGTCGGTAGGTCGGTAGGTCGGTAGGTAGGTAGGTAGGTAGGTAGCTAGGTCGGCAGGTCGGCAGGTCGGTACGTCGGAAAGTAGGCAGGTGGGTAGGTGTGTAGGCGGGCAATTGGGTAGGTTCTCGGTGTGACAGGTCATTTTCGAGATATGGATGCTCAGGATCATGTGCCAGCAGGCAACTTAACAATGAGGAATGAACAAGAAACACATATGAAAACTCCGAAAAACGACACATCTTCAGCCGCGGAAGGGAAAAGGTATCGGATCGGATGTTCGGAGAATGGTGCGCTGACGGGCTGTGACAGCCATGCAGGGCTGAGGAGGTTTCGTCCCAACCTGAGCCCCGTTAAACAAAGGTACGTAATCCTTAGGCGATGCCTCGCCACGAGGCCCCTGTCATACATAATCACTCCCGGACGTTTTGCCGGATAAAAGAAATCATCCGCGGTGAGAGTATGCTGGAAGTACAAGAAAACAGACACACTCAGGAATTTTCCGTGGATTTCCGTGGACCTGTACCCCTTTGTTGATGGCAATACTGCTGAAAGCCGCTTGGATCGCGGTTTGCCCTTGTGGTGAGATTTTATCATGCTCTCGCGAGTTGTCTGTTGGCATATCGGATGCGATGCCAGGCCTCTGCATGCGCAATCTCTCTCTCCCTTTCTCCCTCTCTCTCTCTCGCTTGCATGCCGCCAAGGGCAATGCGTCCCTCTCTCTCTCTCTCTCTCTCTCTCTCTCTCTCTCTCTCTCTCTCTCTTTTTCAGCACAGGCAGAGGAGCAATACGTTCGATCCGCATTGCCCCCCGCGCGTTTCCTCTCTCTCTCTCTCTCTCTCTCTCTCTCTTGCAATCGTTAAGGGGGCCCTGTTTGTTCCGAGAATATTGCTCGTGACGTCCTGACAGAAACACATACCACTGCAGCCTCCGGTGGGACGTGACGTGGACCACCGTCCTGGACGCCTTCAATTCAGCGTCCACCATCTTCAGGTAGGTAATGATCTCGCAAGCATGGCGCTGACTAGCCGGCGTCAAAAACCATCGAATTGCAAACTGAGCACCTGGCCTGACCCAAGGTCGGAGGGTGCTCCCCCGGGAATTGATCTAAGACATAGTGCCCGTCACCTGGGCAAAGGAAGCTCGCACTCACACACGCACGCTGTTTTAATAGCTCAGCAGCATACTCTGGTACATATGATTCCAATTTGCAAGTGATGTTGTAGAAATGACAATCTGAAAGCCAGTATGTCTGAGCAACATACAACCGTGCCGTGCGATTGTTGTAGCAAAGAACATGCATGAAGGCAATATTCTTGGGTTTGCCTGTGCCCATTCCGTCTGCGAGCATGTCTGGAATCAGGCAAAACTCATCATGCAAGGACGCTGTCTTCGTTAGGCAATGAATTTCAAGCATGCACTGACCGCGTTGCACGGAAACTGACATCGTTGTGCTTCGGCGAAACTGTCGGTCAAGTCAGCAGCATTAACCAACCAATCCACCAAACCTTCGGGGGACAACCACCTTGCACGTAATCGATGCATTTGTTGACCAGTTTCTGCAAACGTGTGTGTGTGTGTGTGTGTCTGTGGTTGTATTGCTGCTGCAGCAGTGAACCGCGGCTGCCTCATCAGGACATATGCTGCCAATGCGGAGTCTGAAAATTTTGCGATAAACATCGCTTCGGAACTGTGCTTGGTAAATAGAAGATGAACCGTGCATGGCTGGTTTCAAACACTGGTTGCCGTGCATGTGATGTCCTGCCAATGTACACTGGCTGCTCGGCAAAAGCTTCCTTGATGCGAACCCAAGTCACCGGCTGCAGATGCATTGCAAAAGCACATCCGATTGCTACAACGTCCGTGCATGTCAGGTAAACAGACAGCTAACTGTCTGTGCTGCTATAGAAAGACCCCCCGACTTTCTTGGTGGATTGGGTTGATCCACCGTTTCTGCATCTTCCGCACGCTAGACCCCCCGAACAGCGTGTAGGTTAGCCGTAAAGAATGTAAAGACCGCGATTGCCACATGGAATGCAAAACTGAACATTGGGAAGTGACTCTCCTAAGCTCATGGGCGAGAGCAGTACACACACACACACACACACACACGCACAGCGGCAACAAGGCACAGACCATCCCACCTAAGCTTGCCCAATCTTTGCATCTCCTGCACGGGCACGGCGAAGACCGACGACCAAGCCAGTGCATGTCGCCACATTCATAGCGATGTGTGAGCGCCTCTGGAAAAAAGGCCGTCACATTGCTGTTGGAGCCACTGGCATCGTCTGCCTGCCGCACAGTATGGGCTCAGCAAAGGGTGAAGCGCCGTAAAACGCCCAGCCAACCGCAATGAGGCCGCCTGCGCACACTGGGCAAGCGCTTCTGCCAACGCCTTGGTCAGGGCAGATTACGGAAGGGACCCGGTTCTTTACAAGGCGTCGGCCGCTGAGGCAAAGACCTCCGCGTCTACACTCGAGCCTCGCATATGGTCGTGTAACCATTCCCTCAGTGGCCCCACATTCGTCCACAGGAGGATCTTTAAAGCAGTCGGATGCGACCAAGCAGAAATGCAAATGGCTTCTGGGAAGGCGGCACATTTGCGGAGCTCGTAGCTGCCTAAACCAAACGGACCAGTATAGCGCTGTAGCGCAGATGTAGTCACATGGGGCAGTGCGGCACTTGGCACGTGACTTCATGGATGTCTGAAGAACATATCCACCAAGCTCCCTCGAAACACAGCGTCACTGTCAGAACCCCTTCCTCACCAAGCTTTGCTGCTGCACCATCCTGCACGCAACGCACACAACTTGCCTGGCCAAGATCGGCAACTCGTGGCCCCGACCTGTGCGAACCGGAACGAATCTGGACTTGCCCACACGTTCTCACATGTGTGATCTATTTGTGTCCAGAAGCATGTCACCAGAGGAGAGGGACGGATGAGAAGCAGATGCACAACTCGTACTCGTTTGCGACCTGAGCTTCGTCACGTTTTATCCATACAAGAGTATCGGAGAATCACGATCTCGACGACCAGGAACAGCCGAGCCGCGAAGGGTCTCCTTCTTCGTCCGAGGGCGGCTGATCTCCCACTGACGGCTTAACCATCGACGTGATGAAAGATCCACCTCAGCAAGTTTGGATGCGAATCCGAGGGAAGCGCCTCACAGCCTCGCTTCCGCCAAGGTGCCAGAGAAATTCTTCTTGAGGGATGCTAACAGCGGCATTCTCGGCTCGGCTAGGCTCCTAGGCCCTAGCAGGCCCTAGGCCACGTAGAGGCAAGGATAAGAGAACGAAGCACAACTCAAGATGTCTAATGGTTCCTTACGGTCTTTGTGGTCCCCGTCTGAAACCTGAACAGCAGCCTTTGCCTCTGGAAGATCGCGGCCAAAATAGCCCTAAACCTAAACGGAGGTTGCTTCTGGGCCTTGGTGCCTCCAGCTCCAGGACCCAGACCTCCTCAAGTTCTGAGATCCGCAGCTGCAAGAGACATCCAGGACAAGCAATACACGCCTGCGAAACCCTGCGATTCTAGCGCGACATCCACTTTTGCGGCATGCCAGAATAGACTTGCGGCGAAAGCTTCTGCCATTTTTCGTCATGAGTGGAATCCCCAAGACGTTCGAAGGGTCATCTGCAGAGTGCCTGAGTATTGTCTCTTCGCAAGATACACTGACTGCTTGCTTGACGAAGCTGCTCTCGCTTGGTGCAGGACCTCTTTGTGCATTCTTTGGCACCCGAGGCTGCAGAAACTCCCCTTGCATCGCAGGCACTTGTACCTCACACCAAGACGAAAGCGACCCTGGGAGAATTGCGTCGAAGATGAAGTGGTAGTTGCAAGGGAACGTGCCTGCCCAATCGAAGGCAGCAAGCACAAAGAGGACGCTTCGGAAGAGAGGGCATGCCGACCTGGAAAGTGACACATCACGAATATCGGCGGAGTGTACCAACAAAAAGATCGCAGGTGCAGGGGGCTTTTTAACCCCAGCATATGCGTTGCGCACCCATGTTGAGGTGAGCATGGCAGATCACTTCGGGGTCAACTGGATTGCGCATCTCGATGACCTCCCGATGCCTGCAAGTCAGCCGCACACAGAGGATGCCTTGGGATTGCTTGAGTTCCAGTATACAAGTGATCTCGAAACTTCTTTCCTGGAAAACTGGGAGTACGCACTCAACTCGAACGAGTCTAAATACAGTGAAGCTGTGACAAAGTGACATAGCTAGAGCCCGGCCGCTCGACTTCTTAATGCTTCTACGTGCCTCGGCTACTTTTTGTCACCTTCATTGGATTCGTCCTGGAAGCCGCGATGCAAGTGGACGTGTAGAACGGCGCTAGCTGCAGAAATCGAAACTGAAAGCAGGAAGTCGACTGCAGGTTGTCGTGAACACGTCCTTCTTCATGCGTTGCCGGATGAGCTGCACAACCTCTTGGAAAGACTTTGCTGAATTGGTGCTACAGCCAATACCCGCAGACCTGCGTCTTACAGGCTCCAGCCACAAACTATGGAACAAAAGGCTTCGGCAGTGAAGGATCGGCAGCCAGCCACGTTCCGTTCGATGCGTCTATAGACGCCAGCTCATAGCTCGACTGTCATCCGAGTAGCTGCACGGTCCGTCCTTGCTGCAAGCGTTTGCATCTTGCGCTCAACGTCCCGCTTCAAGTCCTGCAGCTCAAACCCGAATGTTTCAATCCTCATAGAGTCCCAACAAGAGCTATCCGGGCCCCATGCCCAGTTGGGCTTTCGCGGTGCAATGGCCAGCACTGCTTCTGCATCCTGCATAAACAAGCACACCCACATGCGCGCGCGGGCACATACGATATATACACACATACACATATACACATGTACATACATAAACATATACACATATACACATGCACATATATAAACATATACACATATACATATACATATACATATACATATATACACATGTGCATATATGCGTATACACGTACATACATAAATACAGTACATATGTACATATATATATATATATACAGTATACACATACATGTATATATATATATGTACATGTATGCATATACATCTACATCTACATGTACACACCCATGCTAGACACAAATTTGAAAAGAACAGGTATTCTTGTCACACACATGCACACAAACATGCAGACCTGGACCCATAAACATACATGCAGACACACGTACAGACATACATACAGACAGACATTCCGACATACAGATATACATACTTACTTACACACAGACATACAGAAATGCATACATATTAGACAAACATCATGAAGGGCTGCAGAATCCGTGACAGTCATCATTTTTCGGGCCCTGGGATGTTTGTTACGGTGTAAAATCTCCAACAAACGTTTCCTCGTGACTTCGCAAGGTTTTCGACATGTGCGGCAGCTGCGAAGAAATGGCAAAATTGGCTGACACAAAGTCGCCAATTCATGTCAACAAGACCAGCACCACACCACCGTGGCGGGACGGACGGACGGGGGTTCAGGCCTAGGATCATACACATATACCACAATACATACACACTAAAGACTTGATACCTTTATAATCCTGCATACGTACAAACAGAAACACATCCTTTCGAGCCTCAGCTGCGGCGATGGCCTCTTGGATTTCTTTGTCAATCTCTGCCTTTGAAATCCATGCCGACACACGCAGAGGCGGTCTGGAATTGGCATGCAAGCACTCGGGTGCCTCAATGTCAGCAGATGTTATCCTCGGGGTGCTCACACGTGGCAAACCATAGCATCCACGATCGCGCCCTACAAAGCAAGGATGCAAACAAGGAGTGGGCTTCGGCATGCAAAAATCCCGGAGCTCTGGCCTCGAGACAAGACGGCAGCTTGTGGCCTCTACAAAAACTGCTGCCATCTGAGACTGCGACGTTCGTGGGATGTAATTTCGAAAGCGAATCTGGCGGTCATCTGGCAGGTGTTGGAAGCATTTCAATGACGACTGGCAGTCAGGGGACCTCGCACGGCAGACAACTATCTGTCAGAGCCTTTTTTCTCTTCTGCCTGCTTGCTTTTCTTTGTTTTCTTCTTGGCTGGCCTCTGCTTGTCCGGGACAAGCTGACCCAAACATCTTGCCGGAAACATGGTGCCCGATCACAATCATCCAAGACCCAGGCTCCGGCTTGTGGCCCTGTCAGAGGAGCTGTTGCAGGCATCAGTGATCACTGTCCAATACGCTTCACGCGGTGGTAGTGCACACCATGAGCTCTTGCAAAGTACATAGACACGCTTTGTAAACGACCCTGCAGAATGCTATTGACGCAGCCTCTTCTATGGCCATTGCCGGCTACAGGCTGCGTCTATGCGCGGCCCACTGCTGAGCCAGCCAAAAACAATCAAAGCGTCCAGATACAAAGCCGAGGCTGAATCAAGAGTTCGCGAAATTGGCATGTGATGCATCAGCAGCGCTCACTGAGCTTCAAGACCTCACAAGTGAAGAAGTTCACTGCTTGCTCCTCCGCCTATCAGCCGATGGCGAAGGTCTGAGTCACCAAACGATCGGCAGGCAAACACGATCAAACACGTGCCAGGAGAACCAAGACACGTTGGAAGATATCTTCGAAATCGTATCTTACATGCAAGCGTCGAAGTATGCGCTGCTTCGCAAGCACCTCGGACACTGGCACAGCTTATGCCCAGCACCGGATGCCGTGGCACATGTTGCAGCGTGACAAAGCCGTCACGGCAAGTTGGGGAAGTCGCTTCTGTTTTTGACGAGCTTTCTCGTCGCCTGCTTCAAGTGAATAAGCTTGTTCTATAAAGCCATCAAAGATTGCCCAACACAATGTGAGTAATGGCAGCTCTGAACATGTTGCACGGAACTGCACCTGGCAGAAAAAATTCTGGGCTCTAGACTCTGCACAGTCGCGAAACATTGGCCTCTCGAGTTTGTTGGAGCTGCGCCGCTTCCCGCCCCGGACCTTGAGCGAAATGTTGCGGAAACGAAGAACTGTTTACTTTACATGGGTGGATGAGTATCTTCATGGAATTCTTTATATACAAGATGCTAAGGCAACACCATCACAAAGGAATGACCTTATAAAAACAATACAGCACACGAGGCAGTGCCTCCTTGCTAGAACCAAGCTAAGCACGAAAGATGAATGAAGGAGCTCCACATCGCTGCCCTCAGACTCCCAAGGATCCGCCTCGCAAGAGTTCCACCCAAACAGGTTACGCACACACAAAGCATTGCCTCCTCTCCGGTACTGAAATCTGTCTCCAGCAAGACCAATCGATTTCGCTCCTTCCGTGCCTGATCAAGAAAAGGAAGTCCAAATGCACACATAGACAGAGGGCCAATGCTGTGCCCAAGCTCCGAAGTATGCGAATGGTGGATGGGTTCGGGGCTAAAGATGAGAATCACCACTGCAGTGCACGTGAACTGGCGAGTCAGCGGCTCCAGCCGTAGCTCCGCTCTTGAAAGAACGAGGCAGAGGGCACCCTGTGCCCTGGGCCCTGCTCTGCTCCGCTCTCAGCTTGAGTAGTGGCAGTAGTAGTAGTAGTAGTAGTAGTAGTAGTAGTAGTGGTGGATTCCCTTCGGGGATCATCCGATAAAATTGGAACGATACAGAGAAGATTAGCATGGCCCCTGCGCAAGGATGACACGCACAAATCGAGAAGTGTACCAAGTTTTTTGCCGAGCTCGGCTCCAAACAAGCTAACGGTTTCTTGCGTGTGCTAGCGCCCATGGCAGATGAGGATGATGGCCCCATTCGGGCTATCTCATTTCCTCCTGAAATCTTCGCGGACTATATGGATGACTACCTCACGCTCTCGGCATTACGGCTATACTAATACTGCGAGGAGGCTCAAGTGTCCCTGCCGCCTGCAGCGGGAACATGGCCCTCCAACGACATTACGGCATGGGCACACCAAGCTCTTCCCCTCCCGCAGTGGCAGCGCTTCGAGCAGTATCTCGACTCTATGACCACCATGGCCGTTTCTGATGCGGAAGAGTGCTGTTCGGTCGCTCCAATTCCACACGGTGGCCTGCCGCACATGGTGCCCAAGGCGGAGCAGATCGCAAGCAACTGCATCACCTCTCGCTGTTTCTCCGTCTGGTCCTCCGTCCGTCAAGTTCTACAACACCTACCTTTCGAGCCCCACGACAGATGGGAGCGCCCTCCCCAGGAAGTCAACTCTCCAGGTGGCCAACGATTTCGAGTTGGAGCGTACAATCGTGTTCTTCCAGGCTTGCTTAAGGAGACCGTTTCCCATCCCAATGTCACTCAATTGCTCAATGCCTTCGTCTACTCCTGCCATCCAGAGCACCAATGGACCTCGCTTGAAGTCCTGGTAGATGTACTCTCTCCTCCACATAAGGATGTTCGCAATGCTGCCTATGGCTCACTGCTCATTCCAATCTCTATATGCGATCAGGGAGGCATATGGATCGAAGATCCTGACGGATGCGACTACCAGGAGATTCCAGACCAGCAGGGGATGATTCGGGGAAGCTGCTTTGACCTCCGCGGCCTCAGCATCTCCTTCAGGGCGGACGCACTGTGGCACGCCACTCTACCGTGGGCTACCTTTAACCGAGTTGTTCTGGTGGCCTACACGGTCAAAGGAACTTCTCGCTTCTCCGCAACGCTGCAACAGCGCCTGCGCGAGCTAGGTTTTCGTCCTCCTTTGGTGAACTTGGAAGACCAGCCCGTAAGAATGGCACAGCCTCCTGCGCTGAGACACAGTCTCTGATAGCTTCCGCTTGCATCTTGGTGTCACAATACAAAATGCCAGGAAGCGCAGCGTGTGCCTGCACAGCCGTGGATACGTGCATACTGTATTTCTTCAGGACTTCTTGGCTCTAACCATTGTAAGTCTTTGACCCGAACACTCCGCTGGATTCATGGAGGATGAGATCGTTCAACGGATCTTTCACTACCTGACGCCAATGTTTCTTGGCCTTGACTTCTACCTGCCAATGACAGACCTGGACAGGGAGGCCCTAGCGGAACCGAGCGTCCAATCAAGATCCCTGACACAAGGCATTACCGCCAGGGACGGTATGGCAGCGGCCCATGCGGAGCTACAGAAAATGCTCCAGGAGTGCTTCGGGCACTGGCCAACCCTGACTATTACTACTCTTCCTCCCTCGTCAGATCCCGAAACGCAGGAAATGCACTTTGTCTACGAAGTGCTGCAGCCGCGCCTCATCCAGGTCCGCCGACTCGCCACTGTCAACCGCACCTGGCATGGCCTAATGACTAGCATCATATCTGGAAAAGCCCGCATCAATACGGTTGAACTTCTGGTGGCCATGTCGCGGACACCTTCACTCTCCCTCTCTCCATGGCCTTCCGCTTGCCGGTGGAGATTCTTTCCTCTCCCCTGGCTCGCACCACTCCTGCGGCCGTCTATCGCCCTTCGGACTTCAACGCCTGGCACGCGCACCTCTTCAACATCTACGATGCCCTGCAGTCTGAGGACGCGCACCAGGACTGATCAGCATTTGCGGCCTAAAGTGTAGCTCTCAGAAGCGCACAGCACCCAAACTCTGACAATAGGGCACAGCCCACGGTCGCGTAGAAGGACAGCGGATTGTGTGACTGTGGAAAAAGCATATGACAGTGGACTGTCTGCCTATCTACATCTGTTCTCATGCCAGCTGGCTTTCAGAGCAATGCTAACTTTCCTAGATGGGTTCTCCCTGCGCCATGCTCTTATACATCTTCTACCGGGGGTACTCATCCTTGACTTCTACGACGCTTCCGCCAGCCCCAACCAACCTCTACTGGAATGACCTCGACCTGCTGTATGACGAGGCTCGGGAGGCTCCATCTCGGCTACAAGAATTCCTTCTCCGCTGAGCAAGAGCAAGCCTCTTCTCGCAGTACTCCGTCATTGGCAACACAATCAAGCTTGATCTATGGCGTACACGCTCAGCTCGGAATTGTAAATCCGAATCTTCTGCTGGCCATTCGGCTTGCGGCGGTCTGCAGGGCGTTTTTTTTTTGGGCGGCCCTATGCAAAGCAGACACAAGTCAGCGTACTCACTGTGAGTAGGAAAAGAACGTGCTAGACCTGAGGAGCTTCTTGCACGTTGGCAGCCCCACTAACTGAAGCCAAGCCGGACGGTTAACAGCCAGCCTGTGAAGCAAAAGGAAGGCAAAAGGAAAACTAGGGGCTAGAGAAGTCATGGCATGTGGAGTATGCGAGAGCCAGTGCCATGCTAGCTCGGCACACTGTTCGGCCCAGTGCAGTCTACGACGTCCCGGCCGTATGCCTGCCTGTACTGTACCCCCTCTATATACAAACGCCTTCGTAAAAACACAGTTTCGCTCCAGGTTGCTCGGAGTTGCTCTCAAAACATGACCAAACAACTTTAGTTGTGCCCTGTGAATGTGGTGATTGAGTGGGGGCTGGTCGGCAAGGGCTCGGACTCCTTCGTTTCGGATGGTCTGTGCGAGGGGGTTGTCTGTGATGATCTTGGTGTAGTAGGTGGCTTTGATCCGTTGGATCTTGCGGAGGGACTGTGAGTGGAAGGCCTCAAGCCTGTGGAGGTCTGCTGTGGTGAGCGCAGCGGACTCCATGCCATAAGCAATCATGGGGATGAAGACCGCGTTGTAGATGCGCAGCTTCCACGCTACGCTCAGGCCTGTGTGTCGCCAAAAGGCGTGCAGGGTGTTGAAGTGCTTCCGCGCCTTCCCCAATCTTGCGGTGATGTCCGCCTTGCTGGACGAATCCTGGCTGAGGACAACGCCGAGGTACTTGGCCTGTGTGACTTCCTTCATTAGTTCACCTGTGAGGAAGTGTATGTGATTGACGGCCAGCTGTGAGCGAAGCAATTCGCACTTTTTAAGATTCAACGAGAGGTTGCTGTGAGCGGCAACTTCCTGAATCTTGTGCAGAATTTGCTGGCCCCTTTCCGCAGTACCTGTGAAGATGGCCATGTCGTCTGCGTAAGCGAGGTCGTAGAATGGTTGGTTCTGGCTGAAAAGCCACGGAAGCAGCTGGCCGTGCTGCTGCAGCTCCGCGTCGACATCGGCCATGATCACGCTGTGAACCACCAGGAAGAGATAGGGAGAAAGCGGACAGCCTTGGCGAATGCCCGAGCTTGCGAGGGACTGCTGGCTCTGTTGTCCTGCTGCCTTGACTGTGAAGGAGGGGTTGTTGTAAATCGAGCCAATCAGATTGACAAACGACGGCGTCACTCCGTGCCGTTCGAGTGCCACCGTTACTGCTTGTGGGTGGACTTTGTCAAATGCTTGGCTCCAGTCAAGAAGCTGCACGTACAGAGTTGAACCGCAGCGTTCGGCTCGCTCCAACAGCCTCCTTGCCACATGAATCGCCTGTGAGGTCGATCTGGTGGCTCTAAACCCATACTGTGTGGGTCGCAGCTTGTGGTCTATCGCCTGCTCCAGGCGTTTCTGGAGGAGCCTGGCGAAGAGCTTGTAAGAGGTGCTGAGGAGTGCGATGGGGCGGTAGTTGTTGGGGTCCGCCATGGTGCCTCGCTTGTGAATTTCAGCCACAACTGCCGTTGACCATTCTTCCGGTACCAGACCTGTGAGCAATGCGTCGTTGAAGAGGTCCAGTAACGGTTGCCGATTGGCTGGTGTGAGCCACTGTAAGGCCTCTGCCGGAATTTGATCCGGGCCTGGGGCTTTGTGTGAAGCCATGCCTTTGAGGGTGGCGTTGAGCTCCTCCATCGTGATAGGTTCCATGTTGACTGAACTTTCGTCCGTCAGTTTGTGGGTGGGTCCTGTGTAGTCTGTTGGTGGCGGGGCCCACTGAACTTCCGACAGCAGGGCGTGGTATACCGAAATTGCTCGTCTTCTAGAAGGCAAGCCCTGGATTGGGGTGTGGCGAGCCTACGTCCACCTTCGCAAGATAGGCGCAGGGGTCTTCATAGAAGTTCGGCCTGAGGCCCTGAGCATTCCCTATGGTCAGGCTGACTCTATTCTGACTTTTGTTCTGCGGAGACCACTCTAGGCAAGATGGCACAGCCTCTCTCCCCATGGTCACAGACCATGTGAAGTGAAGTACCTACGTCGCATCCAAAAAAGTGCAAAGGTCTGAATGAGCCGGCTTACATTGGCGAATTTTCTTGCAGTCTCTTTGGATTAGCAGTTCAGCTAGAGTTCATCCACATGACTGCAGAACTTTGCACCGAATCATGTCGCCGCGACCTCTCCTTTATCCTTCCCGGCGCTGTCATCGTGGACTTCTACTCAGCAGCTGGACTAGACAGAGAGACGCTGGAGATCGACCCCGCCACTGACGTGCCGCCTAGCACTCTACTCCCCATCCTTCAGCTCAGGGACGAGATCCAGGCGCAAGCTGGCC